TCTAGGTCCTTCTGTATCCTATCCCTCCCCTCCAGCGTATCTACCACTCCTCCCAGTTTACTATCATCCGCAAATTTCCTGAGAGTGCAATCCACACCATCCTCCAGATCATTTATGAAGATATTGAACAAAACCGGCCCCAGGACCGACCCCGGGGCACTCCACTTGACACCGGCTGCCAACTAGACATGGAGCCAGTGATCACTACCCGTTGAGCCCGACAATCTAGCCAACTTTCTGCCCACCTTATAGTGCATTCATCCAGCCCATACTTCTTTAACCTGCTGACAAGAATACTGTGGGAGACCGTGTTGAAAGCTTTGCTAAAGTCAAGAAACAATACATCCACTGCTTTCCCTTCATCCACAGAACCAGTAATCTCATCATAGAAGACAATTAGATTAGTCAGGCATGACCTTCCCTTGGTGAATCCATGCTGACTGTTCCTGATCACTTTCCTCTCATGTAAGTGCTTCAGGATTGATTCTTTGAGGATATGCTCCATGATTTTTCCAGGGACTGAGGTGAGGCTGACTGGCCTGTAGTTCCCAGGATCCTCCTTCTTCCCTTTTTTAAAGATTGGCACTACATTAGCCTTTTTCCAGTCATCCGGGACTTTCCCGTTCGCCACGAGTTTTCAAAGATAATGGCCAATGGCTCTGCAATCACAGCCGCCAATTCCTTTAGCACTCTCGGATGCGACTCGTCCGGCCCCATGGACTTGTGCACGTCCAGCTTTTCTAAATAGTCCCTAACCACCTCTTTCTCCACAGAGGGCTGGCCATCTATTCCCCATGTTGTGATGTCCAGCGCAGCAGTCTGGGAGCTGACCTTGTTCGTGAAGACAGAGGCAAAAAAAGCATTGAGTACATTAGCTTTTTCCACATCCTCTGTCACTAGGTTGCCTCCCTCATTTATTAAGGGGCCCACACTTTCCTTGGCTTTCTTCTTGTTGCCAACATACTTGAAGAAACCCTTCTTGTTACTCTTGACATCTCTCGCTAGCTGCAGCTCCAGGTGCGATTTGGCCCTCCTGATTTCATTCCTACATGCCCGAGCAATATTTTTATACTCTTCCCTAGTCATATGTCCAACTTTCCACTTCTTGTAAGCTTCTTTTTTATGTTTAAGATCCGCTAGGATTTCACCGTTAAGCCAAGCTGGTCGCCTGCCATATTTACTATTCTTTCGACACATCGGGATGGTTTGTCCCTGTAACCTCAAAAGGGATTCCTTGAAATACAGCCAGCTCTCCTGGACTCCTTTCCCCTTCATGTTAGTCCCCCGGGGATCCTGGCCATCTGTTCCCTGAGGGAGTCGAAGTCTGCTTTCCTGAAGTCCAGGGTCTGTATCCTGCTGCTTACCTTTCTTCCCTGTGTCAGGATCCTGACCTCAACCAACTCATGGTCACTGCCTCCCAGATTCCCAGATATTGAACGAAACCAGCCCCAGGACTGACCTTGGGGCATTCTGCTTGATACCGGCTGCCAACTAGACATGGAGCCATTGATCACTACCCATTGAGCCTGATGATCTAGCCAGTTTTCTATCCACCTTATAGTCCATTCATCCAGCCCATACTTCTTTAATTTGCTGGCAAGAATACTGTGGGAGACAGTATCAAAAGCTTTGTTAAAGTCAAGGAATAACACGTCCACTGCTTTCCTCTCATCCACAGAGCCAGTTATCTCATCATAGAAGGCAGTTAGGTTAGTCAGGCATGACTTGCCTTTGGTGAATCCATGCTGACTGTTCCTGATCACTTTCCTCTCCTCTGAATGCTTCAGAATTGACTCCTTGAGGACCTGCTCCATGATTTTTCCAGGGACTGAGGTGAGGCTGACTGGCCTGTAGTTCCCTGGATACTCCTTCTTCCCTTTTTTAAAGATAGGCACTACCTTAGCCTTTTTCCAGTCATCTGGGACCTCCCCCGATCACCATGAGTTTTCAAAGATAATGGCCAATGGCTCTGCAATCACATCTGCCAACTCCTTTACCACTCTCAGATGGAGCACATCTGGTCCCATGGACTTGTGCTCATCCAGCTCTTCTAAATAGTCCCAAACCACTTCTTTCTCCACAGAGGGCTGGTCACCTCCTCCCCATGCTGTGCTGCCCAGTGCAGTAGTCTGGGAGCTGACCTTGTTTGTGAAGATAGAGGCAAAAAAAAGCCTTTCCTACGGTACCATGGCCATGGCAGGTACCAGCTCAGATGCCAACCCAGTGGCCCTTCTGGACCCCATGGGCTTACCACCAGTCCCAGTCCTTGGTACGCTCCTTCTCCATCATGTCTGAGAGAAGGACTGCATCTAGAGTCAGAGATTTCTCCTGGGCATCAGCCACCACTACCACCACCAGCGCCAGGATTGGTACCGTGCCCGGCCCCGACAACAGACCCGGCACCATACCCAGCATCGTATCTGGCACTGTGGCTACACTTAGTACCACAGACAGTACTTCAGGCACCACCACGACTGGTGCCAGGGCCAAATCCGAAGCGGACTCTGGCTTGGGGCAAAGCCACAGCGTTTTGAGGAGCCGGATGGGCAGGAGGGCCCCTCCCATATTCTGGGCTCCTCCTCCTCGTCTCCAGATGAGGCAGTGGCAGGAACATCCTCGAGCCTCCCCCCCTCCCCCAACAGCAGAGCTCACCTTGAACTTCTGAGGCGGGTCGCTCAACCTCGGGGTACAGATGGAGAAGGTCACTGAGGTGTCAGGCTAATGGTAGACATTTTATCCTCAGCAGGACCCACCAGCGTGGTCCTTCCCCTCATAAAGGCCATTCAGGAGAATACAAAAACCCTCTGGCAAACCCCATTCTCTCAGGCTCCTACAGCTAAGGGAGTTGAGAGAAAGAACTTTGTGCCCTCCAAGGGCTCTGAATCTTGTGTACCCACCCCCCACTGGACTCATTGGTAGTGGCAGCTGTTAACGCAAGGGAAAGGCAAGGGCAACAAGGACATACCCCTTGAGGTAACGACTCAAAGAAGCTGGACCTCTTTGGGAGGAAGATGTACTCCACCGGAGGGCTCCAGCTTCGAATTGCAAACCAGCAGGCGATCCTTAGGCGATATAACTTCAAGTCTTGGGACGCACTGTCCAAATTCTCGGCCCTTGTCCCAACGGATTCTAAGCCAGAATTCTTGACTCTTGTGGATGAGGGCAAGGCGTTCCCCAGGACGTTGCTGTAAGCAGCATTAGACTCAGTGGACTCTGCAATGCGGATGATGTCTTTGGACATCACAATGCACTATTGCTCATGGCTGCAGGCCTCGGGCCTCCCTGGGGAGGTCCATCAGAAAATTCAGAACCTACCATTAAAGGGGGCCACATTATTTTCAGAGAAAACAGACTCGAGACTCCACACTCTGAAAGACTCCCCAAGCCACTCTAACATCCCTGGGTCTGCACACCCCTGCCATCCAGCGTAGAGAATTTAGGCCTTGTCACAGTTGCAGACTCACCAGCAGCGCCTTCTGCTGGTTGTCTCAGGGAATTAATGTTCCAGCCTCCAGAGTGCCCTCTTCAGGCCGGTGTATCGCCCTGCTGCTGGCTCCCGTGTCCCTCCCAGGATCCCGGTGCCTCTTTCACTGGGTGCTGCCCCTGGCAGTACCCGACAGTTCTGGGTCTCCCCCTCCCATGGGAACTCCCCACTGACTATCTCTACCTTGCCTCAGTCATAGGCTCCTGCCAGTCACCAGCTAGCCCCCACGCCCTGGGGCAGACGGCAGTATGAGCCACTCATCAAAGGCAAGGTTGGGTTTGGACCTGCTGCCTCTGTCTAACCTTGGGCTATCCCCTGCAACCCCAGTTACCTGTTGGACCTAATGCTAGGCCACAGCCTGGGGCTTTCCTGGCTGGCGCTCCTCAGGCCCTTCCCCAGACCTGCTTCAATCTGGATACTCTGCTTAGGTCCCTGCAGCCAGGTCCCTCCCTCTCAGAGCTAGAGAGAGAGTGCCTCTTCTGCTCCTGGCTTCCCTGGCTTTTATAAGGTCCACTGGGTCTGTTTGGGTCATGGCCCCCAACTGCGGCTGCTCTGCCAATCAGCCCAGCTGTTCTCCTGCCCCAGTCTCCCAGGGCTATCTTAAACCCTTCTGGGCCCAAGCGGGTGTCCACCTTGCTACAGGCCTCATCCCATAACACAACCATACCAGGGACAGTTTAGGCAGGACCAGAACTGTCGTCATCCCAGAAACCAGAACCGCCGTTGCCAACCCCAACCCCCAAATAACAGGGGGTCTGGGTCATCCAGGCAGCCACCAAGCCCTAGGCAGACATTTTGAGGATGCGCCCGAGGGCGTTATAACAACCTCTCAACTGGATCCTTCTTTCCCGTTTTCAGAACATCTATCCCATTTCTACCGAATGTGGTCCCAAATCACCTCAGATCATTGGGTCCTCTGCACGATAGAGATGGGATATTCTCTCCAATTTTCCTCACCCCCCACTCTCCCTCTTCCCTGTCCCTTCTCAGGGACCCCTCTCAAGAGCAACTTCTCGTCCAGACAGTACAAACCCTCCTATCGGCAGGGGCTGTGGAGGAGGTGGAGCTCAGGGGAAAGAGGTTTTACTCCCAGTATTTCCTAATACCGAAAGTAAAAGGAGGCCTTAGACCCATCTTGGACCTGCACAATCTCAACAAGTTTATGAAGAAACTAAAGTTTCAAATGGTCTCTTTGGCTACTATCATCCCATCCCTGGATCCAGGAGATTGGTATGCCACCCTCGACTTGAAAGACGCTGTGATGGGGTGGAGCGGTCCCGCACGGGTTTTGCAGGGGCTAACCCTTCCTTCCTAGCAGAGGAAGCCCCACCCCTGAGGCTCTGCTGGGCATGCTCCAACTGGAGAACAGGTATAAAAGCCTGTGGAGCTGCTCAGTTGGGGCTGACCACTGGCGGGGAAGGAGATACGCTGCCAGCATCTAAGGAGGGACAGCCTGCAAATATAGAATATCAGGGTTGGAAGGGTGTTGCGGTTCAATGACAAGACAGCACAGAGCTTCAAGCAAGCAAGCTGGTCTGCTAACGGGCTTCTGCCTGACAGCTTTCCACCTTCCCCTTTATTCTTTCTCTCCCCCCGCGCATTACATTCTCCGACAGATAAAAGGAATACACTGGCTTTGTTTAATATTCTTATTTACCAGTTTCTATCTACCGCATTCCTTGCTCTCGGGCCTTGAGCCCAGTCCTGGGAGGCTTCCCACGGTTCATGTCATCTGGGCGAGATTCCAAGGTTCATGCCCTTGAGAAGAGCTGTGTGTGCACAGCTCCTATACAACACTCCGGGTGTGCCCTGAATGTTGCCAAGCGCATGAACCTTGTATGAATCCTACATCCCCTCCTTTTTTGTTTATTTGTGCTCGGCCATCTCATGGTAGCCATCAATTTGCTCTCGCAAGCCAATTAACTCCCGGACAGATGAGGTCATAACTCGTGGAGCCTGCCAGGGCGGTTCTCGACAAAGCCTTAACAAAAAGGAAATACATTGCACACAGCAACAGCAAAAAATAAGCTCAAGAAGGTAAAGTGTAATTGGCCGGGCCCCAATTAGCCATGCTAGAGTACTGGGAAGAGAGGTTCGCGTAAGCAGCGAGCATCATCTCATTTCCAATTTCCTCAGGGTGATGACATACTGGAATAAGGCACATACCTAACAATTCTTCAGCTGCTACAAAATCAGATAAACAAAAGTGGGTAACATTTGCTATTGAAGCCAATATTTCCCATAGGTTATATATCATTCGGGAGCGTAACGGAGAAAGCGCTCCCGAGCCAACCCCTACAGGAAATAGCAGGCACAAAAGGCATACAATCAATACAGAATTAGCAGTAATTTGGGCACAAACAGAATTGCCACAAACAGAGTCTCAGAAGTCTCTGGCTGTTGGTTTGCTGCCAGTCTTCGTTGAGCCGCGGCGACCAATGCTTTTACTGCTCCCCATGTCACGGGCTGGCTTGGGACGCTACGCCTCCTCCGTTTCCGTCCCGTCGTTGTCGACCCAGGAGGCACTGCGTTCTCCTCCCAGGAGAGCTGAAACTCCGGTATGGCGTTCGACAGCCCCTGGTGCCACGCCATGCTGTTTCAGTGCCGGTCGCACACACCGGGCTGGAACCCACAACAGTCCTGCAGGGAGAGACACAGCAGCATATCCCCGACCCCAAGTGATTAGAGGTACTGGGCCCAGCCATTGCGGATCGGGCAGCTGACGGTAATAGACATGCGGTCTTTCCAGTACCTTGGATTTGTGAAAATGCCGATCCGTGGGGGTCTGCTGATCTGCGTTCAGCGTTAAATTATTTAAAATAAACAAAAGGATATGCAATTCTTGCTGAACGTCTCCTAAGGTTCAGAGACACAGCTCCCCTTGTTTTAATTGTTTGTCGAGCAAGGTTTTTAGCGTGCAATTTGCACGTTCAACAATAGCTTGGCCTGTAGAATTATAAGGGATCCCGTGTTTGAGACAGATGTCCCATTGGGCACAAAAGATGGAGAGGGCTGAGGAGCAATAGGCTGGGGCATTATCTGTTTTTATCTGGCTCGGGCGACCCATAACAGCAAAACAGGCTAGCAAATGGTGAATAACTTTGGGAGTGGCTTCCCCATGCTGTGGGGTCGCCCAGAGGAATCCTGAATAGGTATCAATGGAAACATGTAAAAACGAATAGGGACGGAATTGTGGTATGTGAGTGACATCCAGTTGCCACAGCTGATTCGCTGCGGTACCTCTGGGGTTAACGGCATAAAAAAAGGTAGGGGCAGCAGCGGCACAGTGGGGGCAGGAACGAACAATAGAACGTGCATGATCAGCAGGAATGTGAAACTGTCAGGCCAAAACAGAGGCAGACTGATGAAAAAAGGAATGGCTTTCAATGGGGTCAGAAAAAAGGGAATTTACCTGACCATGTAACGCGCGATCAGCGCGCGCATTGCCTTCAGTAAGTAGCCCAGGCAGAGGGGTATGACTGCGAATACGAGCAACAAAATAAGGGAAATTACAAGTGGTGATGAGATACTGTAAGGACAAAAACAGGCGAAGAAGGTCCGCATCGACCTGAGGGGTAATAAGGGCAAGGGGTAAATGATCAATTACCTGATAAACATAATGCGTGTCCATGATCAAATTAAAGGGACAATCAGCAAAAAGTTGAAAGGCCAAAATAACAGCAGCTAGTTCCAAGGACTAGTAAAGCTCTCCAAGCGCTGTGCATGCAAATATTGTTGTACAAGTGAATGAAGCGCTTTCAGTTTTTCTAGGGGGAGGGGCCACTGGTCAATCCATACGGGCTCTAAGGATTGCCATACCAATGGTAATGCGGATGGCAAGGTGGGTGAGGAAGGATTACGGGCCATTATATATTAATATCGAGGGTGGTGTCCAGCTTTACAAGTAAGTCACGGCCCCAAATATTGAGGTGGACAGGGAGTACAAAAGGGCAGATTGTAGCAAGGGCACGGCCTCCTGGTTTAGAGACCGTGACCCAAGACAAACTTTGGCACCCAGGTTTGCTACCCCCGATCCCCCACAACTCTTTAGAAGGAACTGTTGGCCAACCGACCGGCCACTCCGGATCACGAATCACCGTAAAGTCAGCTCCAGTGTCCACCAGCCCTTTAAAAGGAACATTATTTAAGAGAAGTGTTAACTGAGGTTTCGAGGGGCGGACCGACATTGTTAGAGCAACAAGTGGAGAGGACGTGTTGTGAGACGGCAACTGAGACAGCGTCGATCCAAAGCCGTTCCCGCCCCGGGCTCGATCCTCTGCGGCTGGCACCTGATAGGGGACTAAAATCAATTGCGCAATTGACCGTCCACGCAGGAGCGACTGCAGAAGATGGGTCCACACCTGAACCTTAATAACGCCGGTGTAATCGGCGTCAATGACCCCTGGGATGACAAAAAACCCCTGTTACCCAGCTTGTGAGCGAAGGAGAACCAGACCCACAAATCAGTCAGGGAGAGGTCCCGTCACCTGGGTAGGTATGGCGCAAACCTCTCCCGGCAACTGAAAATCAGCGTCCTCCTGCATAATCAAATCAAGCCCTGCACTTCCAGCAGTCGCTGCCCTCATGGAGTCTATGGATTTTAAGGCAGAGGAACAGTTGTCTGAGTGGGAAACACCCCTGTTTGGCCCTGGGTTCGGGGGGAACCCGTCGTGCGGTTTCCCGACCTGCTACGACACTGATTAGCCCAGTGATAGCCCTTCCGACACTTAGGGCACTTCTTTGAGGGGCGGGCGGGTGCCGTCGATGTGCGGCACTCCCGCTGAAAGCGACCTTCCTTACCACAGCGGTAACAACGCTTCCCCTCCTTCCCGCTTTTTCTCAGGGCGGCAGCCAGAACTCCAGCTTTATGGGCTTGGGTTCCGATGTTTTGGCATGCCCGCAGCATGTCCGACAGCTCTAGAATGCCAGCGGCTTGTGCCGCCTGGAGAGCACGGCGGCAATCCTCGTTTGCATTTTCAACCGCCATTTTTAACAGGATCTCCTGAGCTGCTGCAGGGTTATCCACCTGTCGGAGGATAGCCTCCTGCAATCTGTTGGTAAAATCCATAAAGGACTCTGATGCACCCTGATGGATACTGGCAAAGCTTTTGGTAGGCTTGCCTGAATCCGGGACCTTCCGGAAAGCATGCTGGGTGCAGGTGGAAATAATGGGGAAGACGGCCTGAGGGAGTTGAGACTGCATCTGAACGGTAGCAAACTGGCCCTCCCCTGCCAAATGCTCATAAATGACACCTTGCTCTCTATATACCTGGGCTTGGCATTCCGCCATCTGCCGATACTCACTAAGCCAAATAACATACTGACTGGGCGTCAGCATCATGCGCAACAGCGCCTTCCAATCTTCAGGGATCAGGGTGTACCCAGTACCTAACCCTTCAATGAGACCACTTACATACGTGCTAGTGAGGCCGAACTCGCGAATCGCTTTCTTTACGTCTCTGATCACCGAGTAAGGCAAACTGACCCAGTTTGCAACCTGGTTGCCCTGGCCATCATCCTGCCAGGTCACCGGACAAACTGAGACCAGATCAGCCAGCTCCTCTGCTGTAATATCTGAGCGAGTCTTCGCTGCGTGAACCATTTGTTGCACCCGCGAAAGCCCCTGAGCAGACGCGGACGAGCCCCCGGGGGGCCCTGGAGCATGGGGCCCCACGAGGGGATGGCGATCACACACCGGCTCCGGTGGGGAGGGCCAGGGAGGCGGTGGTAATAGAGGCACTGGGGGCGAAGTAGGGGGAGGGATGGTTGCAGGAGCGGACGGGGGTGGCGGGATCGGCAGCCCCTCCGTTGGCGTGGGAGAGGGCCTTTCCGAGGCGACACGCTGTGTCGCATCGCCAGGAGGGGGGATGGCTGCAGGAGCGGACGGGAGTGGCGAGAGCACCAGCCCCGCGAGGGAGGGCCTGTCCGAGGCGACACGCTGTATCACCTTGCGGCAGAGGTGCCAGGCATGTAGAACCTGCACAGGCGCCCGAGGCTCCTTGTGCAATGTCTGGCCCAACCGCTCCCAGTCCGCTAGCTTAAGGGTTCCAGCTTCAGGGTACCACGGGCATTGGGCATTCACCTCCTGTAGCAGGAGAGTGAGTTCTCAAGTGGGGCAATCATGCTGAGCCTTACACAGCAAATACTGTAGCTCATTGCGGTGTTGCACTTGCAAAGCAGAGAGGGAGCTTCCCATACTTACCACAATGAAAAATACTCACCGGGATCCGCGAAGCGGATGAGTGACGCGTCTGAAACCCTTGCCGGGCGAGGTGAGTGCTGAGGGCCCCACGTTTGGGCACCAGTTGTTGTGGTTCAATGACAAGACAGCACAGAGCTTTAAGCAAGCAAGCAAGCTGGTCTGCTAACGGGCTTCTGCCTGTCAGCTTTCCACCTTCCCCTTTATTCTTTCTCTCCCCCCGCGCATTACATTCTCCGACAGATAAAAGGAATACACTGGCTTTGTTTAACATTCTTATTTACCAGTTTCTATCTACCGCATTCCTTGCTCTCGGGCCTTGAGCCCAGTCCTGGGAGGCTTCCCACGGTTCATGTCATCTGGGCGAGATTCCAAGGTTCATGCCCTTGAGAAGAGCTGTGTGTGCACAGCTCCTATACAACACTCCGGGTGTGCCCTGAATGTTGCCAAGCGCATGAACCTTGTATGAATCCTACAGAAGGGACCTCAGGAGGTCATCTAGTCCAACCACCTGCTCAAAGCAAGACCAATCCCCAATTTTTGCCTCAGATCCCAAATAGCCCCCTCAAGGATTGAACTCGCAACCCTGGGTTTAGCAGGCCAATGCTCAAACCACTGAGCTATCCTGGAATATACCCCACCACCCAGATGGAGCATGTTGCCACAGTGGAACAGACCAGAGGACCCCTCGACATGGAGGGCCTGGAGGTTCTGATAGGAAGTGACCCAAAGGAACTGTAGAGGAAAACGGTGTTAGAGCCACGCAGGGGCTTGGCATGTTTGGGGCGGATCCCCGCTGAGCCAGTGGCAAGGGGAACTTGCCGCTACCATGGCCCAGAGTTTGGGACCTGGTGGAGAGGATGGGCCTGGGTCCCCCTACCACTCCCCCGCTGCCACCTGGGTCGGGGGGGTGGCTCAGCATGGGAAATCATATGGACTTCAGCCACTAGGCTGCACTACCCTGCCAGTGAGGGGTGATTATATGAATTCAGGCCACTGGGCCGCACTACCCTGCTTGCAAGGGGAATTATATGGACTCTGGCCATTGGGCAACACTGCTTCAATGCTGGGAGTGATTTATATGGACCCTGGCCAATGGGCCACCCTGCCCAGATGTTTGGGGCGAGTTACATGGTAGTGCTAGGCCGCACTACCCCGTCTGCGAGGGGGGGGGGGTTATATGGACTCTAGCCACTGAGCTGCACCACTATGACGCTGGGAGTGAGTTATATGGACTCCGGCCTCTAGGGCCCACTATCCTAAGGGGTGATTGCATGGAGGGAGGCCATCAGGCAGCCCACAGAGAGGCGAGCACGCAAACTTGGGAGTGGCAAGGGTCTGACACCCCACCCCGCACCCACCCCAAAGGGATGGTAAGGTGTCAGGCCTGCCACAACTGGTAGAGAATGTGGGTAACAATCAGGGCCTGAAAGAAGAACCCAGACACTAGGTCACATGGCATCTTGCATGTATGTAGTGCAACATGCGAGGCTCAGACTCAGACCTCTCCAGGCTTGGCTGGCATTGGTTTATCGACCAAGCAGGCACAGTCTAGACATGGTGGTTACCCTTCCAGTGGATGTTCTCAAGTCTCTTCACTGGTGGCTCGACCTGCACTTGGTATGCACAGGTGTGTTTTCCAAACCCCGTCCATCCCTATGTCTGACCACTGACGCCTTGGCCATGGGGTGGGGGGCACACCTTGGGTAGCACAGAACTCAGAGCCTCTGGTCTCAGGAGGAACTGATGCTTCACATCAACGTAAGGGAGCTCAGGTCAGTCCGGCTGGCATGTCAGGCCTTTCGGCCTCTCCTGGAGGGCAAGTGCATATTGATCCTGACAGATAATACAACAGTAATGTTTTATATCAACAGACAGCGGGGAGCACACTCCTCTCCCCTGTGTCAGGAAGCCCTCAAGCTCTTGGAGTTCTGCATAGCACACTCCATATTTTTGGAAGTGTCCTATCTTCCAGGGTCGCAGAACGAACTAGCAGACCACCTCAGCAAGTCTTTCTATAACCATGAATGGTCTGTCTTCCTGGATGTGATAAACAATGTCTTCCAGTGGTGGGGAATTCCCCAGATCAATCTGTTCACCGCTCCTTCCTGAATTACAGCCCAGGTTTGTTGGCAGAAGCATTTCTTCTCCCATGGAAGAACTACCTCTTTTATGTGTTCCCTCCTATACCTTTGAATATCATCATGGATCACATCCTGTATCTGGGTTTGTTACAACCTTGCTACGGTCCCTGCCGTTGCTCTGACTGCTCATTCCACCAGAGCTGAGGCATCTTTGGCAGCCTTCCCGGCCCAGGTACCAATCTAGGAGATATGCAGAGCGGCTATGTGGTCTTCGGTCCACACCTTCACTTCACGTTACGCCACGCCATCACCCAGCACACCATGGATGTGTTCGGCAGGCTGTGCTTCAATCAGCGATTCCATAAACTCCAACCCCACCTCCTAGGTAAGGCTTGGGAGTCACCTAATTGGAATCAATCTGAGCAAGCACTCGAAGAAGAAAAAATGGTTATTCACCTTCTCATAACTGTTGTTCTTCGAGATGTGTTGCTCATCCATTCCAAACTCACCTGCCTTCCCCTCTATTGGAGTATCCGGTAAGAAGGAACTGGAGAGGTGGTGGGTTGGCAGGGTCCTATATCCGGCGCCATGAAGGCATGACTCCAGGGGGCTCCAGAGCTGACCCAATGGGTGCTGCTAGGGGAAAAACCTTCCGGTGAACTGTGTATGCACATGCACACACCTAATTGGAATGGATATGAGCAACACATCTCAAAGAACAACAGTTATGAGAAGGTGAGTAACTGTATTTTCCCCGGTGCCGAAAGGAAGCAGGCAAGGAGATCTAAATAGAGTGAGACCCATGTCGGGGCACTCCCCCTCTTTGGTGCTGCAGGGGCCACCTCCACTAGCTTTGGTACCCCCCACAAGCTCCGCTAACTCCAGCACGGGAAGTGCCATCTTGCAGCAGATAGCGTACCAGTGTGTTTGCGGTACCCCAGAGGCATTTGTGGCTGCTAGAGACCTGCTCACTCTCCCAGGGTCCCGGGAGATTCAGAACTCGGCACCACCGGTATCAATGAGGGCAGAGAGCCATCTCTGTGCTTTCACACAGCACCATGGCCACCCTCTGGGGAAAACCCCCATGGTAGCCTCAGCTCAGACTTCTCTGCAATGCTGTTTGCTGGCACTGAGAGGGTCGGCACCACCTTGGTCTCCCAGCCCCAGCTGATTTTTCTTATTGGAGTCCAAAGTGGAGTCCTACTCTCTCCACTGTCAGGACCACCTGTACTGCTCCCTTTACTATTCCTATCCTGCTGTGGCCTCATGTGCTATGGTGCCCCAAATGTTTGGCCTCTGGGATCGTGGGGATTGGCACCCATGCAATGGCCTTTTTGGAACCTGAGAGGGTTTCCCCTGGGACAGGGCACTGTTTTGAGGCATTCATATTCTGTGGCCTCAGAAAGTAGGGCACCTCCGGTACCGTGCCACGAGATCCCTGACCTGGATTCGGGTGCCAAGCCCAGTGCCGAACCTCCAGAGGAGGACCCACAGGTCTTGGTTGAGACAGAGGAAGGAACAGATGCTCTCAACCAGCCTGAGCCTCTTCTCCAAATGTGGCAGTGGTGGCTATTGGTGTGTCCCCACCTCAAGATGACCACAGGGCCTACCAGGACTTATTAAAGTGGGTGGTGTATCCAACTTGCGTATCCAAGCTGAAGTGGTCAGAGACAACACAGGGGTTACTGGACATTTGGTCATCAGTGGGTCTCTCAAGAGTGCCTCTACCCCTTAACGAGGCAATCATGGACCAGTTAGAGCATTCTGGCAGACCCCTGCTTCCTTCCCTCCTCCAGTCAAAAGGATGGAGTGCAAATACCTCATACTAGCCAAAGGGTATGAATTTCTATTTTCACCCCCTCCAGGATCTCTAGTGGCAGCAGCCGCCAATGTGAGGGACCATCAAGTTCAAGTAGGCCACACGCCAGAGGTAAAGGATCCCAAAAGCTGGATTTTTTTGGCTGAAAAGCCTGTTCAACAGGTGGGTTACAATTCTGAATAGCGAACCAGCAAGCTTTGCCAGGCCGCTATGTTTTAATATGTGGGAAGCGATGCAAAAATTAAAGGACATGCTCCCCCAAGAGGCCAGATAGGAGTTCTCTTTGCTAGTTAAAGAAGGGAAGACAGTAGCCCAGGCCTCCCTGCGGGCAGTCTTGGATGCCACTGATTCTGCGGCCAGATCAATGGCTATGGCTGTTACCATGCACAGAAGCTTTTAGTTACAGTCTTCAGGGTTTTCTCAGGAGGTGCAGCAAACCCTCCAGGATCTCCCATTTGAAGGGCCATCGCTCTTTTCAGAGCAAACAGATGCCAGACTTAAGGACTCTAAGGCAACCCTAAAATCTCTGGGTCTGTATATACCAGCAGTGTCCAGAAAACACTACAGGCCTCAACAGACTGGATACTATTTCACACAGCCTGCCAGGCAGGACCAGTGGAGGAGGCAGAATAAAGGGTTTGGGCATAGACCCAGTGGTCTCAAGAAGAGCTCTCTTCATATCAGTATCAGGGAACTCAGGGCAGTCCGCCTAGCCTGCTAAGCATTCCTGCTCCACATTACAGACCTGGTGGTTTTGGTTCTCACGGACAATACAACTGCCATGTATTAAATCATCAACAGTCACAGCACAGCACGTTCTCCCCCGCCCCCCGCCCCCATTTCAGGAGGCAATCTGGCTGTGGGAGTTTTGCCTCACACATTCAGTTTATCTAGAAGCATCTTACCTGCCGGGTACATAGAACCAACGTGCGGATTGCCTCAGCAGGTCCTTCTCCACTCATCACAAGTGGTCTCTTTGACCAAAGTTTGCAAGGGACATCTTCCAATGTGGGGGGGGGGGAAGGACTCCCCGATAGACCTGTTTGCTACTCGCGACAATAGAAAATGCCATCAGTTATGCTCCCTTTGAGGCCACAGCCCCAGGTCTCTTATGGACGCCTTCCTGTTAGCATGGACAACTCACTTGTATGATGTCTTTCCCCACATTCGATTGATACACAAGGTTCTGATGAAGATCAAGCAGGACCAAGCACAGGTCATCTTCATAGTCCTGGTGTGCCCCAGACAGCACTGGTTCACCACCCCGTTAAGCCTTTCGGTAGAGACCCCAATCCGGCTTCTGCTAAACTTGGACCTGGTTTCCTGAGACCACTGTCAGCTGCTCCACCCGAACCTCTGCTCTCTTCATCATCTGACAGCTTGGAACTGCCATGACTGAATCCTGAAGAGCAAGCTTGCTCGGAGCAGGTCAGTAAAATTCTATTAGACTGTTAAAAACCCTCCACCAGGGTGACTTACATGGTAAAGGGGAAGTGATTTTCCACCTGGTCTTCCCAGCATAGTGTTTCATCTGCACAGTCTTCATTGCAACTTATTTTGAAG